TATATATATATATATATATATATATATACGAGCACGTTCAAATGAAAACCGTGTAAACTAATTTCGACCAAATAGGAAAATTTCTTTTTTTTCTAATTAAATTTAATCAATAAGAGTATTTCGATCATTTACAATATTTTTTATTATATATGGAAGTCATTAATAAATCTTAATTAAGGAAACGTAATAAAGGAAATTATATAAATGGTAACATTTAAATATTTAATTATATTAAAATATTAAAAATTTGGATTTCATATATTGTCATGAGTTATAATCAGGAAAAATTATAGAATGAAATCATCAAAACGTAGATGAACAAAAAAAAATCCACAAAATGAAACAGGTTTCATGAACGTGAAACCGGTTCATGTTGCAAAGATTAGGTGAACCGAAACATTTTTATGGTGAACTCGTTGCAAGGATGGTGTAGTTAACCTTTTTTTTATGATAAGCAAAATGAAACCGGTGCATTTTGAAAAAAATTATGAAAAGGAAAATGAAACAGGTTTCATGAACGTGAAACCGGTTTATGTTGCAAATAAATTAGGTGAACCAAAACATTTTTATGGTGAAACCGTTGCATTGATAGTGTAGTTGATCCATTTTGTTGATGAAAAGGAAAATGAAACCGGTGYATTTTGAAAATAAATTATGAAAAGGAAAATGAAACATGTTTCATGAACGTGAAATCGGGTCTTGTTGCAAATAAATTATGTGAACCGAAACATTTTCATGGTGAAACTAATTTCGTTCATATAATGTAATTTAAAATTTAAAACAATTCACTCCATATAATTGAATATGGTGTGATATATTCATTTTTTTTATATGTTTTATTGATGGATGTGATTTAAAGTTAAAAATAATATATTGCTTTAAAAAATGAAAATAGTGTCATTAATATCAAGAAGGATGTTAGCAAATGTTAAATTTTGTTTACCATTTTTGCCCTTACTGTTGAAATAAAATAAAATTTTAATATATATATATTTTTTTAATTTCTCAAAATAAAGTAAACTAATATTGGCCATTGATCAAGAAAATGGATTGATGAGATTGGTTTACACGGTTTACACAAATGAGACATGTTTTTATCTCTTGAAGTTTCTATACTTGCTTTGTGTGTGTTAACACTATATATATATATATATATATATATATATATATATGTATATATATATATATATAGCGTTGATTTTTTTTCCATATTCTTGATAGGTTTTTTGCTTATGTCGAGATTTTTGTGTGTTATTTTTTGGTTACTCAATAGTTTACTGTTGATTTTGTTGTCAACAGAAGCAGCCCCATGGATTCCTTTTTTTCGGTTTATTTTCTTACATCAACTTAAGTTGAAGTTTTTGGAGGAGACAATATCCTTCCGTGAAGTATTTTGATTCTTGGTTGGTTGTTAAACCTTTGTCAAGTTTCTTTTTTTCCATTTTCATTGTAGTCAGTAACGAAAAAATTAAATATATCAAAGATATTATATTGATAGCAACGTTCAAGCCAAAAGTACACACGCCCTCTATGATTTTTCATTTTCTGAAACATGTCGATAATAATTTCATTATCAACGTCGGCAAACACATTGTTTTCAATATAGGCAACCAAGTTATCGTCCTTTTTGACTGGGATTTTGGCTGAAGAGAATACACAGACCATTTTAATAAAACAAACATCATATATATTATGTACGTCGTAACGTTATCATTTTTTTCTTTTTTGATTAACCTGGATATCCAACCTGTTATGTGAGCCGATTATTCCCAAGACGACTACCTGCTTTGCAGATAGCTCGGAGTCACCGCATTTAAACCCCGTGACCACAAAAGAGATTTTTATATTTGACGTCTTTTAAAACGATGATGGTTTTAATTTCGTCTGACATCTACCAGGTTCAATGTTTTTTCTTTCTTCTATTTTGAGGAAAGAAATAAAAGTTAATTAAAATGTTTCTAATTTTACTTTTTCTATTTTAGGTAATCAAATAACAATTTGAGTATATTACAAATTTCGTCCATGTGATTATATGAAAATTATGGATTGAGCCCTAAGAAATAATAATTACATGTATGGTTATTGTGGCTTCGTTTTTATTACAGATTGAATCCCTTACCCTGACTCTGTTAAGGCAAGTTCCACCGAACCATCCATGTGCGCCTGACATGAGTGCTTAAATAAAACCCCCCTAAAAGCCTAGATCGTTTGTACAGACAKACTTTTTGGGTGCTAAGATCCAAAGTCGAGAGGGAAACAGCCCAGATCGTACGCTAAGGTCMCTAAGCAATCACTTAGTGGAAAAGGAAGTCATCGTCTCATACACCATTTTTGGCCATAACCCCATATCTAACCACTCATCCGTCTCCAAGCTCCCCCATCTCCGGCCACTCCTTAGTCTTCGAACTCCCTCATCTCCAGCCACATCTCTCTTTCGAACCCAACCTCAACCTTAAATCAACAGTATGGTGGATGTTGATACTTGAACTAGAAACCACACAACAGTTCATTGCTTTTTCGATGTCATCCATGGAAGTTGATAAAAAGCTGGATTTCAACGGTAGATATGGATCTTGGCTCGAAGGTCGTGGTTAGTGGTGGTGACAAGTGAAGGCTACAAAGAAAGGAGAGAAAGTGGTAGTGATCGACAAAATTGGTCAACGGAGGGAACCCAAGAATTTAGCAGGTAGTGGCTATATATACATACATATTATTATAAATAATATATACTTATATAATATGATTTTCTATTTTTGAAAGAAAACATAAGATGACGAAAAGACCCCACACTTAATGGAACTAAGTTAATAAACTCACACCGACGGACTCAATCCGTAACAAAAACGAAACCATAATAACCATACATGTAATTATTTCAATTGAGGTACTCAATTCGTAATTGTTATATAACCACAGGGACCTAATTTATAATTTACCCTAACAATTAATTACGAAATACCCAATAATGACACACATTTATTACCTAAAAACAGTAAATTTCTCATTTTCCTATTTTATAGTATTTTTAAATTATTATTAATTATTACAATATTTTTCGTTTGTTAATTGTTTCGAATTTTTTTGGGTTGATTAAATATATATAAAATCTGAATTCATTGTCACATAAATAAAACTTTACAACGATAATATTAAAAAATTGAATATTTTATTTATTTAAAAACAATTGAAAAAGTAAAAAAAAAATTAATGTATTTATTTTATACAGGTTGTCATCAACCGGAACTTAAGCTGTTTGTAATCCTTTGGCACTTTTCTCTGCAAACGACTCTGTTTGAATCATTTCGCTTTTCATTTCTAAATGTTTGTCTTTTCTTAGAAATCGTCCAAAATTTATCTGAAGCGCCAATCCACCAACCATTTTCCCCAATCAATCGATAATCTGACATGGGTTGTGCGATGTCGTTCGGAAAATCAGGTGTTGGGGAAGACGACGACGACCAACTAGTGTCGGTGTGTAGGGAGAGGAAGAGACTGATGAAATCGGCGGTGGATCGGAGGTACGCACTCGCCGGAGCACTTTGTAAGTACAATCAGTCAATTTACGCCGTCGCATTAGCACTCAGGTTGTTCGTAGCGCGGCATTCGTCGTCGTCGTCTTCTTCCCAATTCCTCATCACTTTTCCGGCCACCACGAATCTTCAATCCAAACAGGCCGCCGTAACAAACGCCGTTGAAGAGGAAGAGGAAAAGGAAAAGGAAAAGGCGGATGATAATGATAAGACGGAGCAGAGTGACGGTTCAGTATGTGAGCATTTCTATGATGATGGTGTGGTGATGGACCCCACACCAGCTATTGTGACGTCATCGTCATCAATTGAGCAGAATCCTGATGATTTTGTTGGTTGGGATTTTTTCAACCCTTTCGACAATTTTACTGTGAATGGTGTCGAGCAGGGGAAGGAGGTAGAGAAGATGAAGGTAGAGGGTGATGCTAATGTGAGCCTGGGGGTGATTGATGCTAATGTGAGCCTGGGGGGGTCATCATTGGCCAAAGAAGATGATGATGACGACAATAATAATAATGGGAGGGAACTATTGGAAGCACTAAAAGATGTGGAGGACCATTTTCTAAAGGCTTATGAATCGGGTGTTGAATTCTCTAAAATGCTTGAATTCACCAATGTGGGCCCTCTTGATCATCTTGATTCAAAAGGTAATTTGCTCTCATCATCATATATCAATCATGTATGGCAATCGGAACCCAACCCCTATTTTATATATATATATATATATATGTTCTGGTGAGAAGAAGAGTTAATTTGGAAAACATGATTCATTGGTGGGTTTGGGATTAAAGTTGATCAAGGTTCTTGATCTATTCTCACACTCCTCATCCTTAAATCTTCTTTTCACACAATCCTCTGCCCACATGACATATCATATATACACATACAGCGAGAAGCGTAAGAAAAAATCTAAATCATTGATCACCTTCAATCTCATGTCCTCCCATGAATTGCGCCTTAGAATGGAATTGATTTGGTGTATCTCGGTGCATCTCATTTGTGTTGATATTCAATTAAGATTGATCCAATGATAGAGATCTCTTCTTACACTTTTCACCATAACTTCTCTTATCACCGGAATCCAACCCTATATATACATATACATATACATGTGTATGTGTGTGTGTGTGTTCAAATGAGATCGGTAACCAAATGAAAGAACAAGAAAACAGCTAAATTACACCAACAGTCACAATGGTGTGCAGACGAGACCAAAGTCGCATGAATCGCACGTAAAATCGCACGTGACTCAACCACTTTCTTATTCTCTTGTGTACATGTATATAATGCATATATCACATGTGATTTTTAGTATAGTTGTTCTCGTGTTCTCTTATTTTGATCAGGTTGTCGTTTGAACCTCACTTTATATACATATACATATATATATTCATTTTGCTAGTGGAATTCGGGTTGTTGTTTTGGCAGAATGTTCAGAGAAACTGATTCCATCGATAGCATGGCACAAATCGAGTTTAATGACATCACCCTCGTGTCGAAGTCTTCTTTCTAATAGCTCCAGGAGTTCGTCATCAATGACGGGATTCAACAGCAATGCCGATCTGTTTGATGAGGCCGGAGGAATGGAATCCGGCAGCCATTTGTCTACGTTAGGAAGGTTATTCGCTTGGGAGAAGAAGCTATATGATGAAGTTAAGGTACATGCCCAGAAAATAACATATGTTCGGTAATTTAGCTGATAAGCTAGCTTTTGGCTAAAAGACTCTTAACCGTTAAAATCATGTTTGATAAAAACTAGATGATACGCCGGATGACAATGTAAAATGATTTAAAAATGAATCTGTATGGGAAAAAGAGATTAACCAAAATGACCACTTTTCAGACCTTTTTCAAAAAATAACCAACCAAATCGCCCCAATAGGGGCGATTTTGACTGAAAGGTATGAAGGGGTCCCACATGTATCTGATTTGGGGGACAAAAATAAGATATTATATCTGATTTTGTCCAAATCGCCCCAGATATGCCCAAATCGCCTCCTTGGGGCGATTTTGACTTCTTTTTTGTCTTCTAGTGGTTTGCATGTATACTATTTGGGGGACAAAAATCAGATATAATATATGATATTGTAGGATCGCCCCTGATAAGCCCAAATCGCCCCCATGGACTATTTTGACCCTATTTTCCGCTTCTAATGCACTATGATGGCTGATTTGAAAAATCAATGACGATTTGACAAAACAATGATACGATCTATTTTGTCTTATTACGTAGTGTTTTATATAAATTGGTGGTGGGAGGAGACCATTATCACCATCCCCACCGTCCACCGACTCCACCGACCACTTTCTTCATCTTACTGTAAACCGACGTTTATCATCGTCCATCAACATCTTTCACCGTATACCGACATCTTCCACCGTAGACCGACTTCTTCCACGACCGTATACCGACATCTACCACCGTCCACCTTGCGTTAGAAGTTGTTTTCACTAGAAGACAAAAAAGAGGTCAAAATCACCGTGGGGGCAATTTGGGCATGTCTGGGGCGGTTTGGACAAAATCAAATATAACATCTGATTTTTGTTCCCCAAATCAGATACATGTAGGAACCCTTCGTACCTTCTGGTCATTTGGTTGATTATTTTTTGAAAAAAGTCTGAAAAATGGTCATTTTGTTAGCGTACGGTGTATAAACTGGTCATTTTGGTCAATTCCCCTTAGAAAAAGGTAGAAAAAAGCACTCGCAACTTATCGACACACTACTTGAAAACGGTATTTGAGGCAGTTTTTCGAAAAACTAACTTATAAGTTGACTTATAGTCAACCAAACGAGGGTTTCTCACAAAATAAGTTATCTTATGATCGTGAATTATATCATACCGTTGAATTATAGAAGGTATTTCTTTTCTTTTTGATACGTTGAGTTATGATAGACGATCTTCATGAATGATTTCTAGGCTGGTAATGAGATGAAGAAGATATATGATCGAAAATCTTCGCAATTAAGCACCGAGAATGCTACCAACAAGCAAGGAATCGAAGACCAAGTCAACGATTTATACTCGAGACTTATGGTCAGCATAAAGATCTGCGATTCAATCTCTAAGCGGATCGAGAAAGTGAGAGATGATGAACTTCAGCCACAGCTCATCGAGTTGCTACATGGGTACTCATCTTTCGCCACCGAAACACAATTTCATACCGATTTTGACTTTGAACCTTAGTTCGATCTCTGTTTGATTGTTTTATTTTAAGTATATAATATTTATATACGGCAAATACCGTTTAGTAAGGTTTGAATCCATGGCCTACCAGACCTGCAATAACCGTTGGGCCATTGACCCTTTGGTTTTTTTTATTGTTGCAGGCTAACGAAAACTTGGAAAGTGATGTTAGAATCGCATAAAACGCAAAGCAGAACAATGTTCGAAGTAAGAACATTCCCATCCGCGGCGGCTTTGACCAGCGATCGATCCCGTCATCTTGCAACTCTTCAACTCGAGGCCGAAATCCAAAATTGGCGGATGTGTTTTTCAAGTTATATCGCAGCCACCGAATCATACATTGAAGCATTGAGCGAGTGGGCTTACAGAACCATAGCCCCGGAAAACGAAGGCAGTCCGCCGCTTGTTTTTGCCCTGTGTCGAGATTGGTTGACCGTTACAAAGAATTTACCCGATAAAGCCGTGACTTATGCTATGAAGAGGTTCGCAAAAGATCTCCGAACCCTGTGGGCCCAACAAGGAATCGAACAGCAACAGAAACGGAAGGTTGACCGGCTCGTGGCTGAATCAGAGAAACGAGTGGTCGGCTTCGAGAGGGAAGAGAGGAATATAGTCAGCTCGAAGCCGATGAACATGAAGAACAAAGTCGATGTTCTGGCCGAGAAAAAGGCTCAGCTTGACGGTTTTACTAAAATGGTCGAAACCGAGAAGGCTAAACACAAGGATTACGTTGAAGAAACATGTCGGGTTATTCTGGTAGGATTTCAGACCGGGTTTTCTTCCGTTTTCGATTCGTTAACACAGTTTTCCGAGGTTTGTGTGAGGAAGTATGATGATGTCGTGCAAAATGCGACATCAGGACCGAATCCGGTCCTTGGATGCTGAGGTTGTCGGCGCGTAAAATATGTCATTTTTTGCTTGAAGCATCTTGAAATCGAAAATAATATGCGGGGATTCAATCTGTTAGTCTTCCTTTTGGTTCATCACTATATAATTGTTTTAGTCATAATGTGTACCTCGATTAATCATATGTGAATTTGAAGTTAACAGTCAAATAAACACTTTGATAATCTTGTGCATATCTAAAAAACAAATCTAATATCTTACCAGTTTTATTTGGAAGCCTTACGAGTTACGATAAGGTATAAAGTTTTTCAAGGCGTGCCCTAAGGCGCCCTGCACGCATACACATGTGCACGCACACCCATGTGCACGCACACCCATCCACCCACCCATAACGTGTTTTTAAGGTTTTTTTAATGTTTATTTAAGTCCTAGGTTTCATACATAATTATCATTTATCGCTCAAATTATATATTACAGTAGCCTCACGCCTTACAAAATCAGGCATCGTAACATGCCATAACGTGTTGTAACGCATCATAACATGTTACAGTGCAATCCAAGTCTTAGGGTGAAGGCATGGGGGTTAACATAGCGGCGAACCCAAACCTTGACGTTATAACGAGTTATTTAAAACCATGATTCTAACTGACAGTTTATACAAGTGTTGACAAAGACGGATGTCAATATCATGAATAGAAGCAAGTATTTGTGGTATAAAACAAACTTGGCTGAATAATTATAGATGGAAAAGGGACCCTGCTACTGCTACTGCTACTGCTACTGCTACTGCTACCGCTACCGCTACCGCTACATTACTCTATTTGTCCCCAAGATATACCTTAATGAGGACAAATAGTTTAATGGTCTGATTGGTTTAAGACATTTAAACAATTAAACGCAATCGGTTTCAAGAATATAACCCAAGTGTCGTTCAAACGTAAATGAGTTTACTTTGTAGTTAGCTTAATTGATTAAGAAGTCGTTTACTAAACCCTAGCCAGTAAGTGTTTAGGTGATCATGGCAAGGACCGACAATCTTTATATAATTCGAGAAAGCAAAGTACAAGTTCAAGACAATAAATATATGAAAAATCATTTTTTACGTATATTTTAAGTTATTAAGTATTGTGTTATGGACTCATCGAATTCATATTATTTTAAATTAATTTTTTGTCATTTAAAATATTTATCAGATCGTTTATTTTTATGTAGACAAAAGATTAAGATGATAATTTTTGTTATTCAGAACAAAAATCAAACAACAGTTTATTATTCCTCCACACAAATTAATGCTTATAAACAGCTTAATAAATTCAGAGCTTAATGGATAAAATCTATACTATCTATACTATATTATAATGCATTTGGCTAAAACTCTTAAAAA